GGCTTTCTATATTCCCTGGGACCATTTCTTCAGACTTGGCCCTGTTGTAATGGTCTCTATTTTTACTTAGGAGATAGGTCAACTCTGAGAGGTAGTATGTGAAATGGTAGGTGGTACATTCTGCAGCCAAACTGCCAAATGGAAACTCAGCTCTAACATTTTCTTAGCTGTACAGCCTGGGCAAATAACTTTACCTCTGTACCTCAGTTTTCTCATCTGCAACATAAAAATGGTCATAGTACTTAAAAGCAGCTCCCAGTACTAGTAGTGGGTTAGTACCACAGAGCCATGTCCTTCTGTGTGGACAAACTCTCAGGGTCATCTAGGAAGCTCTTTTACCAGGGAAGTGCCTGCTTATTCCTACGCAGGGGCTCTTGGAGTAAACAACCCATTTAGGAGTCCTGCTCTTTTATGAGAATGTTATTTCCAAGATTTTCTTTCTGTTTCTGAATTTCCCAGAGGCTAAAAGAAGGAAGTGACATGGGATGGGGGCTTGCCGAGAAGTTGAACATGAAAAACATGATCAAAACCGTATGGAGCTGGCTCAGACCAAACATTCAACCATGCAACAGAGTTAACCCCAACTGTTTTAAGAACTGGATGTGCTACAGTGTGTGTGTGTGTGTGTGAGAGAGAGAGACAGAGAGAGAGAGAGAGAGAGAGAGAGAGAGAGTGTGTGTGTGTGTGTGTGTGTGTGTGTGTGTAACAGGAAAGGACACATTTAAATCCATTTTTTGTTGATCAGATGTATAGATGTATTTTGGGACTTATTGTGTGCCAGACACTGTGCAGAGCAGTGTTGGCAATGAAGATGGTCAAGACTCAGTCTTTTTCCCCTGGGAGCTCTCAGATGATGGTCAGGGAATCAGTTGCCCTAAAAAGCTCCCTGAACAGAGATGTCAGATACCTTTCGGAAGATATTAGCTGTAAGGACCATAAGCTTTCAGGGTAGGAGGTATTCAGCTGCAGGCCTTAAACTTGTAGCAAGGGCCATGTGCTGTGAAAATCTGGGGAAGAATTTGGAAGGAGAGGGGAAGATATCTGTAGAGGTAGGTGGCAAGGCCTCCATGTCTTAGTTTCTTCCTTCCTTCTTTTCTTTTCTTTTCTTTTCTTTTCTTTTCTTTTCTTTTCTTTTCTTTTCTTTTCTTTTCTTTTCTTTTCTTTTCTTTTCTTTTCTTTTCGTTTCTTTTCTTTTCTTTTCGTTTCTTTTCTTTTCTTTTCGTTTCTTTTCTTTTCTTTTCGTTTCTTTTCTTTTCTTTTCGTTTCTTTTCTTTTCTTTTCGTTTCTTTTCTTTTCTTTTCGTTTCTTTTCTTTTCTTTTCTTCTTGCTTTCTTTCTTTCTCTTTCTCCCCCCCCCCCCGCCAGTACCAGGGATCGAACTCAGGACCTTGCACTTGTGAGGCAGGTGCAGAACCACTGAGCTAAATCCCTAGCTCCTTAGTTACTTTCTTTGTCACTGTGAAAAAATATGTGATACTCACAATTTAAAGGAGGAGAGTGTATTTTGGCTCACAGTTTCAGTCCATGGTTGTCCAACTCCAAAGCAAAAATGGCATGGTGGAAGGGTCTGGGCAGAAGAAAACTGCACATGTTATAGTGGCCAGAAAGCAGAGAGAGAAAGGAAGAGCAAGGGTGGGGTAGCGTGCTAGTTCATGCCCTCAGCAAACTGCCTCTTCTTACCAGGTACCTCCTCCTGTAGCACATTTAGTTGTAGTGGATCAATGAATCCATCTGCTGTGGTCAGTTCTAGGACCTCCATGATCCAGTCACCTTCTAAAAAGCCCCACCTCTGAACATAGGACACTTCTGAGGGAAACATTCTAGATTTAAGCCATAACATTCCATATTCTTGCTGGTGGACCCACAAGTCCATGCTACCTGCCAGAAAGCTAGCAGCTTCATTATTTTCAGAGGTAGATAGGCAAAACTTGCAATAAATGAAGCTGTGAGTGGTGGCACACACCTGTAATCCCAGCATTCAGGAGACAGGATTGCTGCAAGTTTGAGACCAGCCTGGGCTACACAATGAGTCCCAGGGCAGTCTGAACTACATAGTGAGACCCTGTTTCAAAAAACCAAAAACCAAAAAAAAAAAAAAATCCAAAAACAAAAACAAAACAAACTTGTGATAAATGCAGATGAAACATTTGTCAGAGAATTACAGTGAAACAGGAAGCAAATATTGGTTGAATGAAGTTACAGTGCTGAGAATATTTGTGTCGGAGGGGGCAACCTCAGATTGCTAGATTTGTGTGCCTGGCAGAGAGTTAAGGGGATAAGACAGGAGAAAGCTAGGATAGAAGGTAATAGCTAGAGGAGGGTGAGGGTGGAGTTGTATGCCCGCTCCCTGTGGCGTATCCAGCCCCTCAGACTTCCTTCACATCCTTCATTTCTCAGGCTGCCAAGAATCAAGCAGAGGACTCTTCAACCTAAGGCACTTCACTAGCTCATAGATTATTTTCTGTCTTTCTAAGCCTCAGCCTTTCCTTTGTTCCCAGAGGAGGGCCCCTGGGGACCCAAGAAGTGGGAAAGTTTCTGGATATGCCCAACTTTGAGGGGGCCTATGCAAATTCTGGGATTTATCATGAGATCCAAGGATTGAGGAGCCAAGTCTTGGTTTGGAAGGATTCTCAAAAATCAAGCCCCACCCTGCCATCTGGCAAGTGGAAAAACAGGCCTTACGATGGGGAATGTTGAATTGAACTTGCCCAGGGCCACACAATGATGGGGCAGAGACAAGACTGTGTGATGTGGACACAGGCATTGAGGTCACTGAGTTTTTGATTCTCTCTTGAAACTCCCAGTGGCAGTGCCATAAGATAGTGTCTGGCAGCTCTGCCTTGATAACATGTGCCTCAGGGTTCCTACCCTTACATCTCCTACTCCATCTATGTGTTAGCCTGAGGGTCCAGGGAGAAAATTTGTGTTTGCTTCTGAGGCAGGCTGACTTCCTCTTGTTTTGACTGGGGTATGAGAAAGATTTGAGGTAATGTGCTCCCCTCACAAATATGTGTTCTCTGCCTGTGGGATTCAGGAGACACTCCATGGCCGGCTGGCTTGATGGATGGATTCATGGATGGATGAGTGGGAAGTTGGTAGGTGGGTGGGAGGATTGATGAATGTCTAATGTATGCAAGGACACCTGGGTGGATGGATGCATGAATGCCTGAATGGATGGGTAATTTTTCTCAGCCAGCAGAGCCAAACTTTCCAGCCATAGCAGCTGTTCTTGAAAACTCTCCCACCCCTCCTAACCCTTGTGACTCTGAGACCTGGGATACCTGAGGTTCTGAACACCTGCTTGTGGGAGCAGAGAAGAGGAAAAGACTGCCATGCTCTCAGCCCAGCGAGGAGGGGCTGACACAACTGTTTCCTCACTGTTCCCTTTCCAATGCTTGCCCAGGCCTGCTGTGGCCTGGATTTATTTACTAGCTGACATGTATCTGGTATAATGATGGCTTCTTTTTCCTGGCACAGATGCTTAATCTGGCTCTTAGCTGCCATCTGACCCTAGTGGCATAGAATTGTCACTTCTGGATGGTAGGCCCTTACAGGCCAAAGTCTGAAAGCTTTCCCAGGGACTTCTGAAGCACAAGAAGCTTACTCCTCACAGAGCAGCCCATATTCTGAGTCATGGGGTTCTTGTCCTCACACCTGAGACTCCCTTGGTCTCTGTGTTGCTTCTGAGTCCTATAGCTCATGAGCACTGCATGGGTGGTACAGGGCTCTTTCAGGCCGAATCTCCTAGCTTCCCTAGCTGCTGCTTTTTCTGCCCCATGGGCCTCTCCCCCAGAACCTCTGTCTCTGTCTGACTGTCAGTGTCCCTGAGAGATGTGACCCCAGTATTGCTCGGATAGAGCTGGACCTTGCTCAGACTGAGTAAGAGGAAGACTGGTCCAGAGGTTAAACTGTATGGACAGATGGGGCCTTCAGCCATGGCTGCAGAGCCCTTTCTCACACATTCATTCATTCATTCATTCTCTAAACAAATATTTATTGAGTGACCTTGTACCAGGTAGCACATTGGATACCAAAATAGACATAACCCCTGTGCAGGAAACATGAACAAACTAGGCTAGTATTATGACTATGGCGGGGGGATGGGGGCAGCACAGGGGGCCCTTTGAGCTTGGGAGGGACTTAACTTCCTAACCCAGCCAGGGGTCAGGGAAGGCTTCCTAGAGGAAGAAACATACAGATCCAGAAGGGAAGCTCGGGAGGCAGAGGACAGAGTGTAGTAGAGGGAATGGCGTGTTGGTTGAGCAATTTGTCCTAGGTAGTCCTTAAGCCCTCCTCCCTGCTCTTTGCCCCCCACTGATAAGTGATCCCTGAGCAACCTGGGTGTTTGAACACTAGCCTTGGAGAGTAGAGACAGGGAGGTCTGAGACCTGGCTCATTCAGGGAAATGATGCAAGTTGATTGTGGCCGAATGTGGGCTGTGATGCGTGGTGAGGAGGTATGATGTGGGACCCTTACTGTGGGGGCTGATCCTGAGAGCATCAGGGCGTTAGGTGGGGATTGATGAGGAAAGTGCTCAGATCTCAGGGTGGAATGGCACCAGACCGCAGCTGCTATTCTATCTTCTCCCTTCCTATTTCCGTTCTCCCCGGTAGAAAGCAAACAGACAGCAGACAGACAGATTCATGGGTGCCAAGTGTCTTTATTGGAAGCACTGCAGTCTGGATGTGGAAAGGCTGTGCTTGTGCCACTTTCTTGCTCACACTCACATTCACAGTCACATTGACACTCCAGACCCTGTCCTGGCTGGGTCAGGTCTGGTACAGAACAGCTAGAGGCCTGGTCCTCCCTCTGGTCCTTGGTTCTCCAGGCCATGGTGATTCACATCCTTTCTGTCAGACTCAAGGCTCCCTCTGGAGCTGTCAGGGGCTAACTGCTGTGGCATTTGCCCTGAGGAAGGAGGGAGACGAGGCAGAGTCATGGGATAGAATCATAGAGGGGGCGTGGAGGATGGAGACAGGGCTGGGAAGGGGCAAGGCTTGCCTTGGCAAAGGATTTCTTCAGTCTCCGGATGATGCGTTCTACCCAGAACTGATCTGGGGGTGCACAGAGCTGGTGGCCTCTCAGTGTGGTAAACCTGGAGTGAGAGCCAGAGCCAGAGAATGGAACCCCAGAACCCAGCTTCCTGGAAGGCTCTAGTGTGAGGGGCAAGTGCTGGGGATCACGCCTGGGAACCCCTTGCAGTGGCTCTCTTGAAGGGGCTGAGTGTGATCAGGAAAGAGGGATGAGGCTCGGGGGGCTATCACCAGGGCTGAGGAGGGATGTGGCCAGATACTGCCTCCTACAACTCACACAACAGCTGGCACCCTGCAGCCATCCTTGATGAGAAGGTACCGAAAGGCTTTCACGATTTTCCCAGGGATGGGGCGCTGGGTCACAGACAGGCAGCAGTCTTCAGCGTCATTAGCACCACCCAGAGCAGGGGCTGGGATAGGGGAAAGTGGTGATAGGACACAGGGGAGACCTCAGGCCTAAGTGGCATTAAGGACACCTGAGTGTGTGGGATGGGGTCCAGTTCTACCTGATACTCAGCTGGTGTGCACCAGTATGACTCTACTGGTTGCTAAATAGAATTCTTCTAAGCCTGGTAAAGAACCACTGCCCTGAGCCCCACATAGCATTCCTGCCGCTCTGATCCCCCAACTCCTCTCCCAAGCCCACTCAGTTCCCCACATTACAGCAAAGAGAATTGATGACAGTCATAGGCTGGGCTGGTGTTAAGGGTTTTACAAATTACTAGATAACTGGGCTGGTGGTGCTCACCTATAGTCCCAGCTATGGGAGACTGAGGCAAGAGGATCACTTGAGCCCAGGAATTTAAGGCCAACCTGGGCAACATAGGGAGACCTTGTCTCAAATTTTTTAGAAAAAAGAACAAGTGAGTCAATCACAGTATTAAATATTTTGGTTGCCCAGCTCTGTCGCCTCCCATTCTCCCTGTTCTCTCTCCTGCCTGGGAAAAGAAGGCAGCAGAAATAGAGCCTGCAAAAACAGGGACAGCCATAGGCCCCAGCATATGCCCGCATGGAGCCATGTTGGAATTCCAGGCACAGGTGCACCCACAAGCACAGGGACACTCTGGGTATGGGAATCTCCAGATTGAAACGTGCAGATCTGAACTTGCAGTGTCTCCTTGTGACCATCATCGAGCAGTCTGAGACACAGACATCACCCCCCAGACATCACCCCCCACTCTGCCACCACCCCTTGTCCCTCCCCTCAGCCTTACCCAGGGAGGTCCAGAGAAGCAGCAGGATGAGGGCCAACAGCAGGGCTGCACGGGATGCCATGGAGGGCGAGCTGGGGCAGGCTGGCAGCGAGTGTCTGGGTGTCGAGTCTGTGTGAGGCCGAGGCCCCGGTGAGCGTGTGAGGGAGCGAGGAGAGGCACACCGGTGTCCCGTGTCCTGTGGGGAGTGAAGCGTCCTCTAAGAGCGCAAGCTTGTGAGTCTGAGAGGCTGCCGCTGCCTCCTTTTCTATAGCTCAGAACTTTCACTTTCTTTGTCCAAAAATTCCCTTCTGTGTCCTGTTTTGGGGATTCCCTTTTACCCCCCTCTTTCTGCCACAACCTGACCCCGCCTTCTATCACCCCCTCAGCAGCTTCCCCCTCTTTGCTTTCCTTGGCCTCAGCCCTGAGAACCACAACAGTCTGTACTCTGGCCAAGAAGCAGGGGCTGCACACTGTCAGCTCCAGGGAGGAGGTTTGCACTCTCATCTCATTGCACCATCAGCCATTGGACTGGGCTTCGGAAGTGGTGGTCCAGGATCGGGGGCCCAGTGAGGAGGCGAGTCCGCTTGCCCAGCTTCACCGCGTCCTCACCTGTGCCCCTCGCCTTACTGGTGAGGTAGGTGGTGAGAAGGCTCCTCGCAGTCCTGAGAACAGTCATGGGAGCTGGAGCGGCCTCCACGTGTTGGCACAGTGTCTGCTCATTTACCATCTGGGAACCAACCCCTCCCTTGAGACAAGCAGAGCAGAAAAGGAAAGTTCCTTGGGAGGCGCAGAACTTCTTCCTACATCTCAGTCCTCTGGGATTCCACCTCCTGTCTCAAGTATACCATCTCTTTGTAACCATGTTTTTTTTTTTTTGGACTGAGGCTCGAACTCGGGACCTTGTGCTTGCAAGGCAGACACTGGAACCACTGAGCTAAATCCCTGGCTAGTCACCATTGTTTAATTTTTTGAGAAAGGGACTTGCTGCATAGTTTAGCCTGGACTTTAACTCACTAAGCAGCCCAGGCTGTCCTCAAACTTGCAGTAATCCTCCTGCCTCAGCCTCCCCAGTGCTGGGATTACAGGTATGTGCCACCACATCCAGCCTCTATTCACCATTTAAAAAAATTTCAACACTTGGGTCAGAGAAACAGCTGGAGGGAGCCTGGCTTAGAATAGCCCCCTTGATATTCCATTTCAATCCTGAGAACTAAAAGGGGATTTCTAAGGAGATGGGCTGGCAAGTCATATTCAGACAAATCTCCAAATTTCAAGGAATTGACAGGCTAGGGAAGGAATAAAGTAATTTCCTATTGTTACAAGAATGACCAGAAGAGCTGGGGATTTAGCTCAGTGGTGCTGTCTGAGTTTGATTCCCAGTACACACACAAAAAAAGAATGACCAGAAGAGAAGTCCTTAAAAAAGGAATTAATTTTGGGATATCCATTTAACCATCCCCATTCAAGTTCTGGGCTCAGTTTTGGGTGGAGGAGGGAGGGTTTCCCTCTTCCCTTCTGACATGTGCACATGTGTGTGTGTGTGTGTGTGTGTTTGCGTGCGCGCGTGTGTGTGTGCATCCGTGAGCTGGGAATTGAACCCAGGACCTTGTGCAAGCTAGGCAAATGCTCTACCATTGAGCTATATTGACAATCCTTTTCATTTTTTTTTTTTTAAATTTTGAGGCAGGGTCTTGCTAAGTTTGTCAAGTTGACCTAAGCTTTTTATTCTAAAAAATCAAAAACAAAAACAAAAAAAACAACCAAACTAAAAACAAAACAAAAAAACCTTCAATCCTACTGCTTCAGCCTGCTGAGTAGCTGAGATTACAGGCATGGACCATGATGCCCTGCGTGGCAAAGTTTGCATTTTCGCCACTACCCTAAAATGCCTGACAACTGCCCTTGATTATAATATAGAGTACATATTGCGTAGTATGGGTTGAGATTCAGATTCTGCTACTTATTAATTGTGTGGTCAGGTGAGAGTTATCCAAACTCGTCCTGGTGTCATTCTCTATAAAAAGGGGATGATAATAGATCTATGTTTTAGGATTGAAGGAGGTTTACTTACTTTATTCTGAATAAAGTTTTTTTAGTTTAGAGGCTGTCAGATGATAAGCACTCATAAGTATTAACCGTTTTTTGTTTTTGCGTTTTGAAGACAGGGTCTCATTAAATAGTTTGTGCTGGCCTTGAATTCACTGTGTAGCCCAGGTTGGCCTTGAACTTGAGATGATTCTTCTGCCTCAGTCTCCCTAGTCTCTAGGAATATAGGCTGTGCCACCATGCCCAGTTTAACTATTATTATTATTATTATTTCCTTGCACTCAACTATTTGTCTATTCATCTATCTGTTTATTTTTTTTTGTTTTGTTTTTGGTTTTTGGAGACAGCATCTTACTATATAGTTCAGGTTGGCCTTCAACTCACTATGTAGCCCAGGCTGGCCTTGAACTCACTGCAATCCTCCTGCCTCAGCCTCCCAAGTGCTGGTATTTCTGACATGCACAACCACACCAAGGCTATCCATTCATCTTTCCATTGATTTATTCATACTTTAGCCATTATGATTCTGTTACTGTACAGCATCCAAGAAGTCCCCCGAAACAGAAATGCAGAACCTTGCCATACCATACATGGTAACTCATTTCTGTCACAGAAAAATAATTTTTAAGATTCATCAATAAGAGGCATTAAGAGGGTTATTAAGTAGAATATTATACTCAAAGAAGAGTGCAGGCCCTCAAGAGGGAGAAAGGTGCCTATGATCAGGAATTGGGGTTTTTATGTGGACTTGGGGGTGTCCCTAAATGGGATATGCAGGATGCATATTCCTAGTGCCTGTTGCCACCCATTAGATGGTCTGGGTTAGAATGCAAACTATTTACTTGTGTTTGGAGCTGAGATGTGCTGCCCACTTAATTGTCCAGCTTCCTGAGGATGGGGCTTTGTAGGAAGGAGCTCAGTGTATATGTGAAAAAGGCACAGGTTCAGAGCCCAGTGTCCCAGGTACTTTTCCCTCATTGCTGAGATGAAATACCTGACACCCAAAGTTAGAGGCTTATGTAGTTCACAGTGTAGAGGTGTTAGTCCTTAACGGGCTGGCTCCAAGACAGGGTGGTAGAGGGACAACTGTTCATGATGGCAGAAGACAGCAGAAGCAACAAGGGACCTTAACAGATTCTTTCTGCCCCTTTAATCTTCCTTAGAGGGCAGGTAGCACTCATGCCCTTAATCCTGCTGCTCTGGGGCCTAGCCCCATCTGAATCACTCACTCACTCTGAAAAAGCATGAGGCTTTGGAGGGACATCTAAACACATACCATGACACAATTTCAGGCTTATTTTCTTGAATGACTGTTGTGCCCTGAAGGGGCAGTTTTTCCTTTTTTTTTTTTTTGGTACCGGGGATTGAACTCGGGTCCTTGTGCTTGCAAGGCAGGCCACCAAACTGCTGAGCTAAATCCCCGGCCCTAGGGATAGTTTTTCTTAAAAATATAAAATATTAAAATTTTTTTATTAGTACATGTTTGTAGTCATAGTGATTTTTCATTGTGCAGAGTTGGTACATATATATAATTCTTAATTCTTTAATTCTACATCTTAATTCTTTTTATTTCCTTCTCTCTTCCCTCCCTATTCCTTCCATCTCTTGGACCTCTTCCCATTTGCAAAAGACCTGTCTCCCTGTTTCCTATTATTTGTCTTTTACATATTTTGCTCTTTAACTGATACTTTGGGTTTCTCATATAAGAGAAACCACATGAAATTAATGCTTATATGTCTGATTTATTTATTTATTTATTTATTTGGTACTGGGGATCAAACTCAGAACCTTCCTCTTGAGAGGCAGGTGCGATGCCATTGAACTAAATCACCAGCCCTTATTATGTCTGATTTATTTCACTTAACATTGTTGCCTCAGGGCAGATCCACTTGCCTACAAATGACTCAAATTTACCCTTCTTTTTAGCAGAGCAGAGTAGTACTCCACTGTATATAAATAAAACATAAAAATACAATTTTATGCTGGGTGTGGTAGTGCATGCCTGTAATCCCAACACGAGGAAGGTTGAGGGAGGAAGATCTCCACGAGCTCGAGACCAGCCTGGACTACATACTGAGTTCAAGCCAGCCTAAACTACATAGTGAGATCTTGTCTCAAAAACAAAGACAAAACAAAACAAAAATACAGTTTTAAAATTACAGTTTTTCTTTTCTCTTTTTCTACCTATCTTTATTTTTTCTATCCTATCTCAGTTATGGTTGTTCTGTTGGCCCCAGACCTGTCTGTTCTCTACTCTTCTTTGCCCTGTTATGTTCCCTGGAAGCCTGACTTCTATAGATTGCACTACCCAGGATCCCTTGACCTTTGGCCTCTGTTTGCATTTGGTCAATGGGAAGAAACAACAGAAGAGAGATGAAGAAGAATACAGAAGCTGGGGGTTTAGCTCAGTGGTGCCAGCACCTGCCTTACAAGCACAAGTTCCTGAGTTCATTCGCTGGTACAGAAAAAAAGAAGGATAGAGAAGTTGGGGCGTTCATTCTCCACATGCTTTGTCTTGCTACAGATCTGACAATGAGTAATTTTCCTCTCCTGCAGTTTTTCTTAGAAAGTAATCCTTAGATAGGAGCATCACTATCAACTGGTACCTTGTTGGAAATTCAAGCTCTCAGACCCTCCTGCAAACCCTCAGACCCTGTCAATGACCTGTTAAGTCAGAGACTCTGGAAGTGGGTCCAGCAAACTACAATATGTAGGACATCTGCCAGTGATGCTGATTCATGATAGTTTGAGTCCCACTGATCTAGAATTACAGATCCTTTTGGTTGCTTCTAACCACAGCTCTTGAAAACTATTTCCTCCTTTTGCCTGTCAGGCTTTGGTATAGTAATCAGTTCCTATTTCTGCTAGATCTGGTGCCTCGGCACCCTCATTATTCCTTAATCCTGAACTTACCTCTTTAATCGCGGGGATCAAACTCAGGTCCCTGCGCTTGTGAGGCAGGTGGCGGCACCACTGAGCTAAATCCCTGGCTCTTGACCTTACCTCTTAAGCTGTCCCTTTATTAGAGTCTTTCTAGCTAATTTTTTTTTTTTTGGTACCAGGGATTGAACTTGGGACCTTGCACTTGTGAAGCAGATGGTAGAACCACTGAGCTAAATCCCTTCTAATTTTTTGAATATGATATTGG